GATGCCAGCCTCATTCTACAACAGTGGCACCATATAGCATAACAAAGGTCTTCTTAATAGGTCTGCAGGATCATGTATCTTGTGCTTTAAACTCAATTTGTCTGCTTTCTTCTAGTTTCCAAACTCCTTCTGAGGATCCGGAATGCTTCAGTGGATCAAGAACTATCACCCGGAGCTGGGAGGAGAGCGGACTAAGCCCCACACTCAAGAGGAACCTCGACATCAGGGATCGTATGAGGAAGGAAACGCAGGCAGCTGACGACTTCTGCTCCCTTAGAAGCAGGCCTGCTTCGAGTTTACAGATTTACTCTAAGATGCATTACCAGCCTTATACTTAATGTACCCAGACAAAAGAAGAAACGTCATGATAAATAAAGGAAAGACTGAAGTTGTCAAGGATTTCATTGCACTTGGTCCCACAATCAATGGTCGTGGAAGCAGCAGGTAAGAATACAAATGATGCAACGCATTGGGCAAATCTCCTGCAAGACTTCTTTAAAGTGCTAAAATATATTCAACCTGATGGCACCTAATAACAACAGCAAAATGCTAAACAGCAGATGTGGCTTTAAAGACTAAGTGCCACCTGACGAAAGCCATAGTATTTTCAGTAGCTTCATATGCATGCAAATGCAATGTTTTTGTTGCTGTTATGTGCCAAGCAACTCAGAGCGACCCTATGTACAACAGCTTGAAAGCCTGATAGAACCTGAGACAACCTTGTTTCTTCTGACACACCTACCACCTTTACCCCAGTCACTGAGTCAATCTATCTTGTGCAGGGGCTTCCTCTCCTGCGCTGTCCCTCCACCCTCCCAAGTATGATGTTCCTCTCCAAGGACGGGTCCCTCCATGCAACATGTCCAAAGTACAGCAGATGTAGCTTCAGGATCCTTGCCTCCAAGGAGCAGCCTCTTCTCACCCTCTCCAGGACAAACCTGTTTGTTTTCCTAGCAGTCCATAGTATATTCAACACTCTTCTCCAGCACCACATCTCAAAGGCATCAATTCCCCTTCTATCTTCCCTAGTCACTGTCCAGCTTTTTGGTGCATAGCAGGTAATTGTGAAGACCAAGACCCAGATCAGGCCCATCTTAGTCTCCAGACTGACACTTGCTCTTCAGTACTCTGGAGAGGTCCCAGATAGCAGACTTTCCCAATTCAATTTTTCTTTTGATTTCTTGGCTGTTGGTACCAGCAGTGTTGCTTGTGGAGCCAAACAAACTGAAACTATTAACTATCTCTATCTCTCAGTATCACATACAAGCAAGATTCTGCTGAAAATTATCGAAAACTACTGGAATAGCACAACAACAGAGAACTTCCAGATGTTCAGGCTGAGATTAGAAGAAGCCATAGTACTAGGGATATTATAGCTAATGTTAGATGGATCTTTGCTGAAAGCAGAGAGTTCCAGAAGAATGTCTATCTGGGTTTCATTGACTCTACAAAGGCATCTGACTGTGTGGATCACAACAAACTGTGGCTGACTCTGAGAAGAATGGGAATCCCCAAACACTTGATTGTCTATGCAAAACCTATCCTTGGACCAGGAGGCAGCAGTCATAACAGAACAAGGAAACACTGCATAGTTCAAAACTGGGAAGGGTATATGCCATAGATGCATTCTATCTCCATACCTTTTTAATCTATATACCGAACAGATCATCCAGAGGGCTGGGCTCTATGAGGAGGAATGTGGCATCAGGATTAGAGAAAGACACATCAACAACCTTTGTTATGCAGATGACACAACCTTGCTTGCCAAAACTGAAGAGGATCTGAGGCATTTGGTGCAGAAGGTCAAGGACTGCAACCTTCAATATGGACTGAAGCTCAACTTCAAGAAAACAAAGATTCTCACCACTGGGCCTATTGGCAGCATCATGATAGATGGTGAAGAGATTGAGATTGTTCACAGCAAATGCAATAAGGAAGAACAAAGAATTGATATGTTCACACTGTGACAATGATGAAGAGTCTTGGATGTGCTCTGCATGGCCAGAAGAATGAAAGTGTCTTTCTGTGAGAAGCACAGAAGAAACAAGAATGGCCAGATTCTATCTTTCGGACTTCAGGCATACTATCAGGAGTGGCCAGTCCTGGGAGAAGAATATCATTCTTCTATTCTTCCAGTAAAGTAGAAAATCAGCCAAAAAGAGAAATGCTTTGAGTGGCATGGACTGGCACCGGGTGACGGCAATGGCCTCAAACATCACAGCGGCTGTGAGGATGATGCAGGAATAGGTGATGGTCTGTTGCGTTGTCCACGGGGTCGCTACAAGTTGGAATCAACTCAACAGACCAAACAACAACAGAAGAAAGCATGAAACTAATTCATGTGCCCACTTATAGTATGGGGGCAGGGGGAAGGACAGGCATGATTGAGACAGTGTTTTACAGGAATGTCACCAAGTTAAACTTGACCGCCACACCTTACTCTCTCAGAGCAGCTGGGGAGTGTGATCCACTCGCCTTTTCGTTAGCACGGGCAACACACAGCCACTGTATCATTGGGGCTTCTTAATAACGGCTGCGGACCAAATTTCCATTCAAATAATGTGCATGTTACATGTTTTCTCAAACCCACAAATTTCTTGTGCATTAGTTTCCTATATACATAGTTGTTGTTGTTGTTGTGTACTGTAGAATTGCAATCAGCCCATAGTTGACCCTCCAGTGGGTTTTCAGAGGCAGTAAATCATGTAGGAGGAGATTGTCCATCCTTCTCCAGAGGAGCGGCTGATGGCCTCAAACCACTTGACTCTGGGATTACAGTGCAGCTTCTTACCACTAGGCCACCAGAGCTTCTGTATTTACACTACATGGATTATATATGTGTGTTTATTATGGAAACTCATATATTAGAAACAAAAAAACGGTGTTTAGACAGTTCCTGCTAACCTGAAATGTTTTTATAAAACTGTTATATGATTAGGTATTATTGTCATGCCATGAGTCAAGAATGAAGGCTGCATAATGGAGTGAACTTGGGGGCAGGGACTGTATAACAATGAATTTTTCTTTTACTTTTCAAAGAGAAGAACGAACTGGAGGGGAGGGGTGGGCAGGGAGAATAGTGCAACAATGAAAGAATGGAAATCCAAAATCTCTGTGAATGTTCATTAAAATTAATAATAAGAAGAAAAAACTGTTGGCTATTAACACTAAAGTATAAACTTGATGAATATTCCATCAGTGTCAAAGATATTTCTTCTGAT